ACAAAGAGTTCCTTAAAAAAAAGTTTTTGTTCCAAATAAACAAATTTCTTCAAATGAACAAGCTCTACAGTCATAAAATGATGGTTTGAAGAATGCTCTGAACATTTTTCCTTCTGTAGAAGAAGTTTGTGTTCATCATGTAGAAGCTTTTGATTATGAAAATAGTGTTGAAGATCAATCTAAAACAGCTCAGGTCCCGATTCTAAACAAATTTGATATTCTTTCTAATATGGAAGATAATCTGATAAATGAGCAAGGGAAGGAGAAAGTTGATAAAGAAGTTGAAGAAGGGGAGATATTACCTGATCTATTTACTGATGCTAATGAAATTGCTGCTATAAAGATTCAAGAACAGATGGTACGAGCCGAAGGACTAAACAAGGAGATCAAGACTGTTGAAAATTCTTCTTCAGCCAAGAAAGTCAAGTTGCTCAAAGAACTGAAATCACTGGGATATGGAAATATAGTCAAACATAACAGAAAGTTGGAGAGTGGAAGAAACAAAAAGGGTGGGTTTCTAATCAATGACTTCTCTAGCTTTTTGGAACTGTAGGGGGCCAAAAAGAGAGAGGCCGCTCTATATCTCAAGGAGGTTGTTAGAGAAAATGATGTTTTTTTTGTGGGAATAGTTGAAACCAAAGTTAGTACATTGGAGAATTTACAGATTTTGAAATTTCTGGGTGACAAATGGGAATCGTTTATGGTTCCTTCTACTGGGCTATCTGGAGGTATTTTGGTACTTTGGAGGAAGGATGTAGCAGCTTTTTTAGTATTGGAAATTTCTTCACAAGTTATCATTGGTGATCTTGAAGTTGTCAATAAAGGATGTTGGCAAGTCTCCACTGTTTATGGAAGCAGGAGTATGGTGGAAAGGAAATCTCTATGGGAGATTTTAGAAAAAAGGTTTGATATTAATAAACCAGCAATTATTGGAGGAGACTTTAACTGTATCTTGTCACAAGAGGAGAAAAGAGGAGGCAAAAAAATTATATTCTCTCAAGGAGCAAAAGATATGAAGATGTTTATGAACAACAATGACTTTCATGAAGTTGGATTTATAGGACCCAAATTTACTTGGTGTAACAACAAAACTGGGGGAGGACGCATCTTAGAAAGACTGGATAGATGCCTTATTAACTCTTTTGCTATGAATTCTATTAATCTAGCCTTGGTTAAACATTTGTCACGTATAGCTTCAGACCACTGCCCTATTGTTTTGGAGATGTTCAAACCGGTGGCTTCTAACTACAAATGTTTACGCTTTGAAGATGTATGGAGCACTTATCATGGGGCTTTTGCTATTGTAGAAAATACATGGAAGAAGGGTGGAGGAAATGATCCAGCAAGTTCTTTAAACCTGAAGTTTAAAAGGACTCTTAAAGCCTTATTCTATTGGAGTAAGGCTAAATTTAAGAGTTTAAATATTTTGAGAGATTCACTGAAGAAAGCGATTTATGATTTACAACTTGAAGAAGCTGATGGGATGCTCACCGAAACAAAGCTGCTACTACTCAGATCAAAGGTAAATGAATTAAACACTACTTTGGCTAGATTAAATATATGGTGGAGGCAAAGAGCCAAAGCTAGATGGTTAGAAGAAGGTGATACAATTTCAGCTTTCTTCCATTCTTTTGCAAATGCAAGGAGCACAAACTGGATAAATCAAATAAAAAATGAAGATGGTACTTTCACGGATCAAATCAAAGATATTGATATGATTTTTACAAATTTCTTTAAAGCCAAATGGAGACATAGGAACAGTAAACTAGATGGATGGCCGCAACCTGTTGCTGTGTTGGAGAAAGAAGATCAACTCAAATTAGATGCAGTTTTTTCAAAGGAGAAACTTCAAGAAGTGGTGAACAACTTGGGGAAGAACATCTCACCAGGAATCGATGGAATTACATTCTCTTTTATCAAATGCTATTGGAAGGTAATTCAACTTGATGTTTGGAATGCTATTAACATGTTTTTCAAAACAGGAATTATGAATCAAAACTGGAAGGAAACATTGATTGTGTTAATTCCTAAAGTGCAAAATCCAGTTTGTCCAGAAAATTTCCGTCCAATTAGTCTTTGCATGACTACGTATAAATTAGTAGCAAGAATGTTGTTGAATAGGATGGAAAAGGTTATACACAAGGTTATTTCCAATGACCAAGCAACTTTCTTAAAAGGGAGATCATTGAACGAGCATGTTCTTTTGGCTCAAGAGGTATTCAACAAAATTCGACATTCAAAAGCTAAGAAAGGATTTTTGGCAATCAAAGTCAATATGAACAAGCTTATGATAGCATGGGATGGCAAGCTTTGAGGCAAGTCCTTCATTTTAAATTCCCTAACAAATTTTCGGATTTAATTATGAATTGTATTTTAGATCCAAAATTTTGTCTATTGATTAATGGGAATAAATCAAATAGGATTGAAGCTAAAAGTGGGTTTAGACAAGGATGTCCTCTATCCCCATTTCTTTTTATTTTGTGTTCACAAGTGTTATCGGATGCTATCTATCAAAATGGAAAGAAGATGGGTATTCAAATTGCTTCTAAAGCACCAAGAGTGTCTCATTTGCTCTATGCGAATGATATACTAATTTTTTCTGAAGCCAACTTGAAGAAGATCAAGAAAATAAAAAAGACTTTGAACAACTATTGCAAATGGACTGGACAAAGGGTTAATTTCAATAAATCTATGATGGTGTTTGGCAAAACAGTGAAACAAAGGAGAAAGAAAGAAATTGAAAATGCCTTAAAATTCAGTTCTGCTATAGAAATGAATTATCTTGGTATTAAGCTTACGTTAAGGAGGATGGTAAGCTCTGATTATAATAAACTAATGGAAGTTGCTTTAAATAAGCTGAATATATGGGGAAAGAATTTTGTCTCATTGGAAGGTAAAATGGTCTTATTGAAATCAGCTTTCTTATCTCTTCCAATCTTCCTATCAACTCTTTCCTTAGTGCCTTTGGGGATCTTAAAGGAGTTTGACAAGATGTGTAGAGCTTTCTTGTGTAATAAGAAGAATGGGAATTTGGGTTTGCACTATGTCTCTTGGAAGGAGCTTTGTAAACCAAAACAAAAAGGAGGAAGAGGTCTCTTTTCAGCGGTTGAAAAAGTGGGTCATCTTAGAGCCAAGTTTGCTTGGGAATTTTATATGAAGCCGGAATCATTACTCAATTGCATCCTTAAAGCAAAATATGGGGATGATTTATGGAAGAATCTGGAAACAAAAGGTAGTTCTTCTAGTTGGAGAATAATTTGTAATGGAGCTAAATTTCTTACTAACATTGTAAGATGGAAAATCTGCAATGGGATTTCTATTAACTGGTTGAAGGATGCTTGGATATTGGATAGGAATATATCTAAATGGCCTACTTTTGTTAGTAACATGGAGATTAACAACTACAAACTGGAATTCTTTTTGAAGGATGGAGAATGGAACCTGGAACAACTTCAAATGTTCTTTGGAAAGGAATTAATTGATCTCATATTAAAAATTCCCATCTTTATAAATCAAGGAGCGGATCAAATTGACTTGAAGAAGAAAGCTTCTGGTTGTTCAATAGCAGCTATCTCTCAGGCTTATTTCTATAAAGAAGATGAAAACTGTGAATTGTGGAAGTGGTTCAAGAATGTTAAGCTTAGACCAAAGGTTGAGTTGTTTTGGTGGAGAATGTACAAGAATGCCATCCCAAGCTTCACTTTCTTATTTCACAGAAAGCTTACTTCTTTCACAGGTTGTCCAAGAGGATGTATAAAAGATGAAGATAATAATCACATTGCTGGAGAATGTGATAAACTGAAGAAGGTTATCTTTTGGCTCAACAAATGGGGATTTCAAGTTCCACAATTTGTTTGCTTTCATAACTGTTTAAAAGAATTGGAGAGAATGTCTTATAAGAATCCATTAGTGGTTAACATTTATTGTAATGCAGTCTTTCTTGTATGGAAAAGCAGGAATCTGTTAATTCATTAAGGGAAGAAAATGATCGTTATATTGCAGTCAATTGCCTACGTACTTCCCATTTTATGGTTTTAAAGGTGAAGTGGAACATTGGATTTTGGCTACCAATTGCTTCTATGGTATTAATTGCCATGATCTTTTGTTTCTAGGGATTTTTATCTTAGTGAAATATCAATCATCATTTTAATTGTAGAATTCATCAAAATTGAATGAACGGTCATGAATAGCTAACTCTGGGTGGAATGCCCAAAGCTTTTTTTAATTTAGTATAGATAAATGAATTCAGAACACCCTGAAAATATCAAGTCCGCATTCATAGCTGTTTATTTTATGAGTATTTGCATCATTTCAAATCATCATCCTAGGGATCCAAGAAAAATCAGGATAAAGGACATAAATAAAACTTTCAATGTTGTTCATAATATGCTTAAAAAGAGAAAGAAATCAAATAGCTACAAACTTATCCAACTTAAATAATAAACTCTACTTTAAAATCTGAAAAGGCGACAAACTTTGATGTATGAAGAATATTGAAAAGTGCTAATACTCTTAATAATCAGCTAGGAACAGGTTAATGCAACAATTTAATCTCGCAAAATCTTGAGCAGTTACCACCATCTTTAAGTGTCTGGACGTATGATGTAAGGAGCCAGTGATAAAAATAAGTCTGATGGAAAAAGCTTAGTTTACATCATTGATTGGTGCCTTGATTGGTGCCTAGTTAATGTTGTATATATGATGCCTCGATTCATCCCAATATAGCCGTGAAATATCTACATGATTCTATATTTCAAATCTACGGTCAGGGATTGGATTACAAAGTCCAATCAGAACAAATGTTACTCAATATGACACGGATCTCTTAAATTCTTACTGCTAAAGCTAAAATCCCTTAAAATTAATCTAATTAATAAGGTAAATCCACGATGAGACATAGCAATAATTGACTACTATGTGACTTAAATAGAACTTCTTACGAAAAATAGCCAGCAATGTAAAAGAAAAGAAATTTAGAGCTTAAATTATGAAAATTTTACTAGTAATAAAGGACTCCTTCCAAAGTTCATGACTTGACCATGATGGCGCCACTTCTCTTAAGGGAATTCCAATGCTAGAGCAAACCCTACATAATAGAAGAATAAAAAACTCAGTACAATGTCTTTCTTGCATCATTTAAGCACTGGATATTTGGCAAATGATGTGGTTTATCTGGCAGCGTTATTTTCAGGCCAGTAAAACTATTTACAGGAGCTGAGATGTACATTAATAGAGATTACCAAAAAAAACCTAATGCAGTATAAGGTCCCCATCACATTACCATGCCCAAATATATGACGAGATGACAGATCAAGGCTGCATTCAGATCAAGCTAGCTATTGATTCATATTTAAATATAGGCCAAATTTTGGGAAGCAGCAGCTTATATGGGACTTTTAAAGATTCGAGCTGATTTTTAAAAAAATTTAAAAAACAGCAAATGCGCTCGATCGGTTGGCGCAGTCTTTGAGAATTTGAATGCGGGATGATGTTGAGCGCATTCTTTGTTTTTTTTTTGTTTTCAAGTTCGCAAGGTAATCCGTGCAAATAAAATTTTCGTTTTCAGTTTAGTGTGTTATTCCATGTTTTGTTGTTGTTTGCCAAATTAGAAAGTGTAGAGAGAGCAGGTGTTATATTCTGACTTTTTTGGTTGGGAGTAGGAGTATTGTGTAGTGGCCTTTGGTTGTAGAGTTTTAGAGGTAATTTGGAAAATAAAATTTTAGTTTATTAAATATAATATTTATAAGAGCATGGTTTTCAAAACCGGACCGGCCGGTTCGAGCGGTTTAACCGCGAACCGGTCCGGCGGGCGGTCCGGGTTGCCAAATGAACCGGTTGCAAGCGAAACCGGCAAAAAACCGGTCAAGAACCCGGTTGAACCGGTGAACCGCCGAACCGGGCGGGTTTTGGAGAACCGGTCGGTTCTAAGATTAGCGAATCTCAGCCGTCCAAAAATGATCACACGCATGTAATGAGGCTGGGAATCACTCCTGACGCTCCTCTACCCTAAATAGCGATTCAAATATTCAATGGATTCATTGTTCGACTGTTCCTCTGCTCGCTCGAAGTCGACGACTAAAGCAGCGGCTGTTCCGGTGTTCCACTACTCGCTCATCGACCGAAGCATCCCAACCGCGGCGAACTCCTCCCGTCCTCCGACCATCCCATCCGCGGCGAACTCCTTCGACCATCCCATCTGCGGCATCCTCCTACCGTGAGATTTAATTTTGTTTTTTTTTTTACAACATTTTTTTCTCTCTTTGAATTAGTTGGATGACTTCCTTTCTTAATAACAACAGCACGATCATCCAAGCCGCCGGCGAACTCCTCCGACGATCCAAGATTAATTAAAGATTTGTTGTTTGTATTTAAAGATATGCTTCTATTCCTATAACTCCTTGTTGGTATTTAATTATTTGTTGAATGTTGTAATTATTCTTTCATTAAAACAAATTTTGTATGGCAGATGAATTTTGAAATGCTTCTGGCAAAACCAAGCAACACTGCAAAAATCCAAATCATATTATAGAAAGTTTCTTCCTCAAAATCCAACACTTGACAAAAGGTATGCATTCAAAAATTGTTTACAACATTCGATTTTTGCAGATATGGCTTGCGGCCGACGCGTGGCTAACCGCCGCCACCAATCATTGGCGCCGTCACGCGGTTTCTACCCCGCGAATCCGAGCGTGCCATCTGTCCTGCCGCTCCGTCATTTGACTATAAAATCATTTTAAATTCTCTTTTTATTAACAGAACTTCAAAAAATGATATTAAATAAAATATAAAGTCAAAAAATGAGTATAATATATCAAACTGTTCAGAATTTTGTCTAGTTTATTTTAAAAATAAAATCAAACTGTTTTGATTATTATTTTATTAGTAATTTAAGAAATACATAAAATGCTATTTTATTTTTAATTAAATATAAATAGGATAATTTTATCTGAAATTTGGCATGAATTTTTTTAAGTATATGACTGATTTCCAGAAATTTTTATGTATTTATTTGAGCTATGTTTTGATAGTTATTAAATGTGCAAAATAATTACATTTATATGTGTGTGTATGTGTATTCATGTAAGTGTATACATATACTTCCAAGATCTGTACTAGAACATTTTATTTTAGGTAACAACATATATATATATATATATATATAACTGTAATTAAGAGGCTGTTTGGTACTCTGAAAATAAAATGCAGTGTAAAGTAAATGTAGTATATCTGAATGTTTTGAGATTATTTTGTTATCTGCAAAATAAACGAAGGAGAATTATTTCCCTTGTTTGATTAGATAGATCCAGAGTAAAGTAAAAGCAATATTGTCATAACTAATTTTGGCATTACAACTAGCTAGTGTACTTATGAAAGCATTGAGTGTATACTTAAAAAATAAAATCAGTGTATTTATTTATTGCATTATCTTATTCTAATTTTTTTTAGATTATAAGATATAATATTCTGCTGAGAATGTCCTGCTATGAATTGAATGCATTGGTCTGCTATGAATTGAATGCATTGGCATAATGATGCACCACCCAAAAAAAAATTATCAAACTCAAAAGCCCACTACAGACTCTAGAAGAGCTGAGAGCAGGCCATAGCTGGAGCACATTGCACGGTTTCGAGTGCATGCATCCAAGATGGCAAGCAACCCCTTAACCATTATGGATCTTGGAAATT